GGAAAGTTTAGCCCACAGCTTGTGAAGGGTTCAGTCCATAACCGGCTGGCTCCAAGGCAGAGGGACACATGGGGAAGGCAGCAGTTCACGGTGGCAGAAAACAGCAGAACAGCAAGAGCAAAAGGGAGGAGCAGCGGAGGCCGAGCCAGCCCCTCCCTTCCTCAGGCTGCATCCAGCTGTCACCTGAGGGCGGCACAGCACTCACACCCAGCATGCTGCCCCTGGATCAAGCATGAGTCACAAACACTGGGCACCATCTCAGTGATTGCATGAGGCTTTGGGGGGACAACTAGACAAACCCTAGCTGCCACTGAAGCTGCCCAGAGGCTTTCAGGACCACAGAAACATTTCCCATGGCCAGCTCTGGGTAACTCTTGCAGTGGGAGGTAACCCTGTCCCATTTTTAACTGACACAGGCACCTCCCACTCGGCCTTGCCTTCCTCCCGACCCCCTTGGCCTCCTTAGCATTGATGGTGAAGTCCCCAGACCCTTCACAACTCCCCTGACCTGGTGCCATCGGGCCAACACATTTTCCCACGCTCAGTTTCAGTCACTCTACCTGTCCCTTCCCCCTTTTCAGGTGAGACATCTTAACGGAGTTGTCAGCTCTTCTGACCATCACCGGGACGCAACCAGGGCTTATAGCCACCCTGGTGCCACCGTCCCTGTCCCCCACTGCGGCTCCCATCTTTTCCCCGCACCTCAGAGGCCAGCCGCTGGAGACAACCTCCCAGTCCTGCAATAGTCCCAAAAGAGCTCCGACGGGCTACTAACCTTCTCCTGCCCTCTCCTGACACCCAGGCTGATAAGCACAGCTTGACTAACAAATTTGTCCTAGTCAAAGATTTAAACCAGGGGCTGGGGAGGTGGCTCAGTGGAATAAGTGCTTCCCTGGCAAGCACAAGAGCCTGAGTTCAATCCCCGGTTCCACAAAAAAAAAAAAAAAAGGTTTAAACCTCAGGGCCCTACAGCCTAAGTGGACTGTGCCCTTCATGGTCATCCGCTGAATCCCACAGCAGTCCCTCCCGGAGACCCCTCCCGGGGGCACATTGCTCTCAGGTGAAGCTGTGTCCTGCTGGTAACTTACCTGAGTCCTTGTGAAAGCCACAAGTAATCGCCCTGTCCCTTCAGCCCCAAACTGCAGAGGGTGCCGGTGCACTCTGCCCCTGCTCACCCCACCTGTCACCACTTCCCTCCTTGGGGCCTCCATTTGGTCACCATGCTCTTCCTTGGTTCCACCCTTGAACTCCCACCTTCGAGTCCTTCCTTACATGGGTAAAAGTTCTTTTCAGGAAAGAACACGTTGTGACTTTCCCCAGACTCGGCCAGTTTCTGTCCCCCTGCCCACACTCTTGTCTGGCTAGCCCTCAGCCTCCTGTCACCGTGCTCCAGCCTCCTGAGGGTCCCCCATCAACACAGGACCCTGCCATTAATTCACCCCTGATAAGCCGGTCCAACCTTTCCAAAGCCAAGGCTTTACGTGTCCAGCTCTTCAGCCACCTGAACAGCCCCTCCAGTCCTCCCGCTCTGGGTCCTTCCTAACCTCGCATGCCACCTTGTGCCACCTGGCTCCCAGCAGCGCCCTCTTGGCTCCAGGTCGTACCACCCACACGAAGCCACGAGAGACAGTACCCGCCTCCTCGCCTCTTTTTATTTATAACAAAGAAGCAGGAGCGGGCTGGTGAGATGGCTCAGTGGTCTAAAGCACCTACGTGGAACAAGCTTAGCGAAGCCCAGGGACGGCGGTTCAATCCCCCAGCGCCACATGCCAGCCAGCCCCGCCCCCTGGTGGGCTGAGCTGGCCACACACACACACACACACACACACACACACACACATAAATAAATAAAATTTTTTAAAAAAACAAAAACTTGTTAACAAAGAAGCAGGAGCTTCACGCCCAACATGTGAGGCCATTACCACAGGCACGGGGGAAACTGCAGAACAGAGCCACACACTTCTGCACGGCCCCTCCTGAGAGCGGTGACCACACCTCCGCTGCCCGCTGCTGCCCTGCCAGTTTGGAGAGGCGAGACCACACTCTCCGCCCCCAAGATCCTCAGGGCAGAGGAGTGACTGACAGCCACTGGGCCTACAGAGCTTCCTCGGGAGGGACCTCTCCCTGCCACGCTTCTTAGTTTATCCCAGAGACCCCGAGTCCAGCCTGACCTGTGTGGCCTCACCCCACTCCGATGGGTGGCTGAGATGGGTGTGGCTGCTGCAGGCACTCGGGTCCCAGCAGAGGCTGGGCCCAGGCCAGAGTGGGACGGTGACCAAGGTCACACTCAAGAGCAGAGCTGACCAGACTCCGTGCGCGTCGGGTGTCTTCTAAGAAAGGACAGGCTTGAGACTTCCTGTGGGTGACAGTGGGGTGGGGCGGGGCATTGGGGACCACAAATTCACAGTGGCTAATATTCCATCCTTCCCTAAGGGATGAATGGGGGCTTGGGATTACTGGTATCATCCTTTGGAGATTTCCCATGACCTCTTCAGGCATGGGCCGTCCTCCCCCACCCATTAGGACTAAACTCAGACCACTAAGATTAAAAGACCTCAGGGCAAGATCCTCCTCAGCATGGGGTCACCTGTCCCTCTGCAGTCCTCCCAGGATTAGCCCTGCCGGTTGTGGACCTCTGAGCCTTCCTGACCTTGAACCTTCTCTAATCCCTCCTCTCACTGTGTACGCCCGGTACACCGCGGCTGCGTGGAGTCCCTGCCTCTGCCCACTCTGAGGCACCAACCTCCCAGCCCTCTGTGTGCATTACTAAATTTGCCTCTGTTTCTCTTTGCATCCTTTCACCATACCCCTCACACAAGCAGTTGGGGATCTTGGCCAGGTGCCCCATAGTGGGGATTGTAGGTAGGCAGGCTGGCCGGCGTGACTACCTGAAGAAGGGGTGTTAGGGGCCAGACAGAAGCTGGCCCCTGTCCCAAGACACTGGCCAGGGGAGGCTCAGGTGGCTGAGCCACAAGCAAAGAGCCCATCATGGTGAAGAAGGACAGTGCAGGGCCTGGGGCGGGTTCTGGATACTTCTGGGAGCTGGAGTCAAGGCTGCTGCGGGGAGGAGGCTGCAGGGAGGAAGCTGCAGGTCCCTGAGCCCAGCCCCACTGGCACCGAGCTGTTGTCCTCAGCCCTTCTCCGTGGCTGCCCCTTCTGCCTTTGTGGCCTCTCGAGCCACGGATACAAGTTTTCTGGCGCTGGAGCAGCCTGAATGGTCGGGTGCCCCCCGTTCCTGCACGTGTGAAGGGACCCTTCCTGGCACTTGGAGCCGGAATCCTTTCCTGGCACTCCCAGAGAGGGAAAGGACACACACCAGGGCCCTCCTGGGGTGGTGCCTGTGTCCACAGTGTGGGGACGCACTGTCACCCAACCCTAGGCAAGCCATGTCCAGCTCCTCCTGCTCAAGTCAAGGCCACACCCCAAGGATCTGAGCATCGATCCTGGCGCACCAATTCCTTTATTTCACACGCTGTCACCCTGGCCACCGCTCATGCCTAAACATCTGTGGCAGAGGCTCCAACAAGCTCCGTGGTCTACAAGGCATCCAAGGCCCCCTGGAATCCTCCCGACCCAAGAGGGCTGATGTTCCAACACCCCCCCTGGGTGAGGGGCACAGAAACAAGCTGCTACGTTCTCCAAGGGGAGCGACATGCACACAGCACGGCCGGGCCCAGCCTCGGGCTTGGAGAAGCTGCACAGGGGGCGACAGCAAGACAACATAGGGCAGCGGGTGCCTTGCTCTGCCCTCTCCCGGCTGGCGCTGACCAAGGGCACCAGCCCCAGGAAGGAGCAGACATGGCAAGCGCAAGAACCCGGGCTCAATCCCAGGTACTACATGCCATACCAGCCCCATGCCCAGCCAGCCATCAAAACCAGCCGTGGTGGCGTGGCCCCCGCCTGTAATCCCAGCACTGGGGAGGCTGAGACAGGAGGATCGTTATGAGTCTAAACTGCAAGTGAGATCCTGTATCAAATAAATAATTTTTTTAAAAAAAAGGAGTGGAGAATGGCAGAAACTAAGTCTGTGTGCATCTGGAGAAGTCCAGTTCCTCAGGGCAGGAGACCAGGGAGGGTGAAGTCAGCAGGCACAGCTGGCCCGCCATCCCGTCCTCCTCTGTGTCCTCTCAGACTCCTCTTGTCCATGCCCCCCAGTTCCACCCTTGGCCACACGACGAATGAGCCCCTAGCCAGACATGGCTGCTGAGCACCTCTATAATCCCAGAACTCTGGGAGCCTGAGACGGGAGGGTCACGAGTTCGATCCCAGCCTGGGCAATTTAGTTATTTACTGAGGCCCTGTCTCAAAATAAAAAAAGGGTTGATAATGTATGTCGTTCAGTACACAGGACTTCAGTATAAATACAACACAAAGGTAAATGGAGGCAGCTGGGCAAACCCTGTCCCAAAAGTAATGAGAGAAAGACAGAGAGAGAGAGAGAGAGAGAGAGAGAGAGAGAGAGAGAGA